GTACAAAGGACTAGAACCTATTTCTATTTGAATGGGCCGATATGGTCCACTTTCCATCTTAGGCCATAGATCAAGGTATACAATACTAAATTTAATTAAGCATCAAGGTAATCTACTTTATCTCACTAAAAAACAACTCTTAAAAATGGAATAGAGACAATTTCAAATTCTCTCTCAAATGACCCCCAGAAACTACACTTAGAGTACAAAGATTTATCCCTACCTTTTATCACACAGAAAACTTGATTTTCTTACAGTAGTTCATTTTAGGACAATTCAAAGTAGTAACTGCTAGGTACCAACTCCAATATGCAATATATGCCAGTTTTACCAAATATATGTACTTGATCTACTAAGGTATACACCATGTTTACAGTGAGGTTTCCCTGGAAGATATATTTTGAGATTATTTTTCCCTTTTCATTCATCTGTATTTTTTAAATTTTACAATGAAAGTGTACTGCCTATAAAATTTTTCTTCTGTTATTTCAAAAAGAACGTGCAGGGACCCCTGGGTGGCTCAGCAGTTGAGCACCTGCCTTCGGCTCGGGGCGTGATTCTGGGCTGCAGGGATTGAGTCCCGCATAGGGCTCCCTACATAGAGACTGCTTCTCCCTCTGCCTCTCTCATGAATAAATAAAAATTTTAAAGAAAGAAAGAAAGAAAAAGTGCAGAATGGGGAGCCTGGACGGCTCAGTCAACAGACCATGTGACTCTTGATCTTAGGGTTGTAAGTTCAAGCCCCACACTGGAGGTAGAGATTACTTAAAAATAAAATCTTACCAAAAAAAAAAAAAAAAAAAGTGCAGAAGCCCAAGAATTCAGAAAGGGTGAAAAACATAATTAAAGATCTTGAAAGGCTTAAGCTTTGATTTTCCAAAGTCAAAACATCAGATAAGTTAAACATATCTGATTCTTAGGGGCACCTGGTCAGTCAGGTAAGCAACCGAGTCTTGATTTAGGGCTCAGGTCATGATCTCAGGATCATGAGACTGAGCCCCCAAACAGGCTCCCCACTCAGTGGGGAGTCTGCTGGAGATTCTCTCCCTTATCCTGCCTCTCCCTCTGCCCCCTCTAAAATAATAAATCCTTTTTAAAAATCTGTTTTTTATATTTGGAAAACATGAATAACCCTTCACATTTTACTGCCAAGACTTCTAAGCTCTTCAGCTTTAAAAAAAAACTATGTTTTTGAATGCTATAAAAAACATTATTGGGTCAACTGACAACTGGAATATGGACAGATTTGATTTTAAGATCATATAAATGTCAAATTTCCTTAAATCGATAACTGTACTAACACGTAAGACAATTTCCTTAGTTCTCAGGAAATATAAAGTGAAGGAATTAAGGGGCAGGATGAATGGAACTCAAATACTTCAAAAAATACATAAGAATAAAAAAATAAAGCAAATGCTGAATAGGAAAAACATTAACTGGTGATTCTGGGTATGAGAGTTATTTGTACCATTTTCGCTATTTTTGTAAGTTTGAACTTCTTTTTAAATAACATTTTTTTAAATTATTTATTTATGATAGTCACAGAGAGAGAGAGAGGGGCAGAGACACAGGCAGAGGGAGAAGCAGGCTCCATGCACCGGGAGCCCGACGTGGGATTCGATCCCGGGTCTCCAGGATCGCGCCCTGGGCCAAAGGCAGGCCATAAACCGCTGCGCCACCCAGGGATCCCTAAATAACATTTTTAATTGAAAAAAGTAACCAAAAAAATGACACTTAAAATTGTCCTAAAAAACATTTAAAAGCATGCTGGATCAATTTCAGGCAAGACATTAAATTAGCATCGTCTAGAAGAAGTATAATATGAGCTATATATGTTGTATTTTCAGGTGGCCGCATTAAGATTAAAAGAAACAGGTGAAACTAAGTTTAACATATTTTACTTAGCCACGGTTTAAAATACCATCATTTTGATGTCATCATCAATATAAAAATTACTGAGATATTTCACAATTTTTTTCATTGTAAATCTTCAAAATCTGGTGTGCATGTTACAGTACAATGCATTTCAAATGCTAAATTTGCATAGGAAATACTTGATCTGCATTTAGATTTCATTAAATGTACAGTTCAAAAAGTAGATCCACGTAACCAAATTCTAACAAAAACAGTTAAAAGTTTTCCAGTCCCTGAACTATCAGTTTTAAATGTCAAATTAATTAAAATTAAATAAAGTGGAAAACTCCTTCCCTCAATCATACTGCAAGCTCAGTAGCCACATGCCTTTAAACTGTCATATAGCCCAGTTTTAGATGATGAAACAAAATCCCTCTATGACAGAAGGACCTGATTGCAAAGACTTAATTTATCATATTTATCAAAAGATTTTTAGTAGTTATGATAAAATGATGACTGCTAATCCTATCAGAAGCCTTGGCATCTCCCCAAATCATAATCAGACATTCCCTATACCACTCAGAATACCAACACAAAGCCTTCTTTATCTTCTAAGTCAGTTGTCATACCTTGTTATCTGAGGTTCCTGAAAATTGTCTGTCAAATGGCCCTCTTTTAAATGTAGCAGAATGAACCCGAGTTCTGGCTCTCGGAAGCATCAATGTCCATTGTTACAGAGTGCAGAGTTTCAGCACAAATACCATCGGAGAATCCCGAATGGGAACATGCACACAACAGAACATACCCCGGATTTAAAAGAGATGACCTCGGTACAGAGGCAGGTTTTTCTTTTTAAACAGGTGTAAGAGATTAATTCAGTCCACACCGAGCAACACTAAAGATTCGCCAATCAATAATTCTGCGAGATTAATTCAGTCCACACCGAGCAACACTAAAGATTCGCCAATCAATAATTCTGCGCCAAGCAACTTGATCAGGGATTTGGCTAGAATCCCTTTGGCTAATCTCAATAAAGACCTTCCCAAAGACATCCCGATTTAGGCCATTCTCATCTAAATTAAGGTTTAGGCAGTCCTTTGCCTGACAGCAAATAAATGAAATGAAACGAAACACGCACAAATAAAATTCTGCCCACTTGACGAAAGGAAAAATGATCTGAAAGATCATTTAGTGTGGTCAAAAATACAGTTCCAAAGAACAGAAGTCAGCCTAAAACAGCACTTATAAACCATTTTAGGGAAATGTCTAATTCCTACCTTCTAACTAGCCAGCCTTTTCAATGGAACAACGTTGTGGGTAACAACTGAATTTAATCCACAACTGGTTTTTCCTTCTCTGCAGGCACACATACAGGTGTTAATATTCTGCTTAAACTTGAAAGGACGTTAGTCTTTAAAACCTACCAATCCTTTACTGTGCATCTACTGGCGCCTTAAACTACGAATCCCCTGGGGAAGTGAGGGAAAAGAGGGAGCAGGATGGTTTTTGACACCATGACTAAAAATTCTACGTTCCAGACAAAAATCCTTTTTTTTTTTTTTCTCCTTCCTTTCGCATCCTGCTGACCTAGCTTGCAACATCCCATCGGGGGATCACAGACAGAAATCTAACCATTGTGTGGAAACAAAATAATGGTCGTCTACAAACATGTGTATATAAACATTAACTCTACTTACAATACGACTTCCCTTCCCCCTTCCTGCAAAGAATCATAAAGCTTTAAGCAGGATGAGTACAAACGTTTTAAGCCGCCGCAGCGGAGGTGTGTTCTTGATTAGACGTATCTGCCCCTGCAGATGTTTGAACATTCTGTAGAACACGTTCTAACTTGGGGTTTTTACTGGAAACTTCTCGGCCGATGCCTAGGTCATGCAATCCCTTCTCTCTGAAATTAGCCAAACGTGCAGAAAGCCATTGTAATTTTAGAAATAGTGAAGAGTGGAGAAAAAGGAGAAAAAAAGAAAGCAAAAAAAAAAAAAAAAAAAGCTACACCCGAGACCCATTCGGGTCCAACAGTTCAAGCACTATTTCGAGAAGGCAAGTAAGAATAAAAGCTGCACGTCTCCCCCAGGAACACACCGGGTTTCACGAAGCCGCAGGGTCCGGGCCAGGCCGTGGGCCCCTCCCCGACCCCGGCCCCGACCCCGGCCCCGGCCCCGGCCCCGACGACCCCGGCCCCGCCGCAGCGGCCTCGGCCCCGCCGCGCATCGCGCATCCCGCATCCCGGCTCCTGAACCACCGCGGAGCACGAAGGTTTCTGGGCTTGTCCGATGCATCGCAGCTGCCGCTTAAATCCGAAAAACCCCCACCCCACCCCCCCAAAAAAGGGGAAAAAAAGTAGGATGAAAGCAGAGTTTTTACGGCGTAGTCGTCGGTTCCTCTCGTCGTCGCTGGAACCCACTGAAAAGGGGGGGCAAGGCCGGCGCGGGAGAGGCCCCTCCCGGGTCCGCGAGGCCGAAGCCGCCCGAGGCCTGGTGCCCGCGCGGCGGGTCCTCCCGAGGGGGGCGCGGGAGGCGCACCCGCCGCCCGGTGCCGGCGCTGCTCCCGGGGCGGCCCGAGCGTCCCCAGGGCCCCGCGGCCGTGCAGGGGCAGCCCGCCAACAAAGGCGGCGTCCGCGGCGTGCAGGGTGCAGGGGCCCCGCATCGGGCCCGGGGCCGCAGGGCGCAGAGGTCCCCCGGGGAGGCGGCGGCGCGGCGGGCGGGATGGGGATGGGGGCGGGGATGGGGGTGAGGGTGGGGGCGGCCCGCGCCCTCCGCGCGCCCCCCCGCACGCACTGCGCCCCGAGCCCCCCGCGCGCACCCCGAGCCCCGGAGCCCCCCCCCGCGTGCCCGGACCCCGCTGCGCCCCCCGCGCCCGGAGCTCCCCGCGCCCTCCCCGAGCCCCGCGCCCCCCCGCTCCCCCCCGCGCCCGGAGCTCCCCGCGCCCCCCGCGCGCCCCCCTGCGCCCCGATGCCTTTCATTTGGCCTCTGCGGCGGCGGAGGCGGCTCGACCTCCAGCGCTAAGCGCCGCGCCAAGCCGGGCGGGCGGGGCAGGCGAGCTCAGCCCGCCGCAGCGCCCACCACCCCCGCGCCCCCGGCCCCCGGCGCCCGCCCGCAGGCCGCGCTCCGCGCCCGCCCGGTCCGCACCTCGATGTAGCCGGCCAGCGCCGCGGCAGGCGCCGTGAGCCCGAGCAGCAGCAGCACCAGGAGCCTGCCGGTGGCCGAGGCGGCCGCGGTCCCGGTGGCCGCCATCCCTCGCCGGGTCGCTCTAGCGCTCGACTCCCAGGCGCGCACGCGAGCTCTCGGGACCTCTCCCCGCCGCCACCCAGAAGCATCTGAAGCCCGGTCGCCGCCGCCCCGGGGGTTTTACACCAACCGGAACTGACTTCACCGGACCACGCCCCCTCTGCCCGGCGCCCAATGCCGGCCCGCAGAGCCGCCCCAAGGCGCCGCCCCCTGCCCAGTCCAGGCCCAATCAGGAGACTGAACAGCCTGCGCCTCCCGCCCGCCGCGACCGCGAGCCCCGCCAGGCCCCGCCCCCGCCTCTGCCGGCCCCGCCCCCGCCCGGGACCCCGCGGCCGCGCGGGTGTGCGCACCGAGGGGGTGTGCGCAAGGGGCCGGGGGCCGCGGCTGCGGGGAGGCGGGGAGGCGGGGAGGCGGGGAGGCGGGGAGGCTCGGCCCCCGCCCCGGGGGAGCTCCTCTGGCCCAGCTGCGCCGGTGCGGCCGCCTGCAGCCTCCCGACTCGGGGCACGCCCCGCTCCCCTGCCCTGCGGGGTATTTTTCAGATTCCTTTGGGTACTACCGTTTGAGGCTCTGGAAATGGCTGTATTAAAAACAGAATTTCAACAATTTTGATGTTGTTGTGCGGAGCCCAGGCAGGTTCACCGAGGCTCGCACGAGCGAGCCCTCCTCCTCCCCAGACCCTGCGCGGGGCTGAGCATCGGCGCTCCTGTCCCCGTCCCCGTCCCCGTCCTCGTCCCCGAGCTGGGCGCTGTCTCCACGCCTTTGCCCTCTGGTCCTTAGGCCTTCTCCCGACCGCCCGAGCCCAGGGGTGCAAGGACCACAATGACCCTAAAGCCCAGGTCCCCTTTCTCCCGTGTTTTAGGCAAAGATCGTCTTTCCTCCTTATTTAGTTTAAGATCCCTGCAGGAGACCTGCTTCCCTGCTTTCTTGCCCCACTGCATTTCCACTTCGACTGGGAAAACGTTCTGCTGCCCCATTTCACAACTGGCACGGCCTCGCCACTGCGAGGGCACTGCTGGCTTTGTTTCCTTTCAATAGCCCTGTGATTTATACACCACCCTTTGCAGAGCCCTTGCTAGTCCCTTTAGGTTCAACCAAATAAGTAGGGAACAGGGTCTCTACTCTAGGAAACAGACAGTGAAAAGAAAGAGACAGTGTCCACAGAGTAAACAGTGGGGTAGTGAGAAGAACCCTGGATTTTCCAGCCTTGTTGCCTGACGTGCCCAGTTCTTGGTGGTTTAATAGGCTCTGTCCCTGTTTCCCAAAGACAACCCACACCTTTCCATGAGCCCTTTCTGTGCCTGCAATGTCCTCTCTCCAATACCTACCTGTTGAAAACATTGTCATTCTTCCTGAGTCCACTGGATGTAATGTCATCCCTGGCTGAGTGCTGTTTCCCAACAAGGCACCTGCTCCCTTGGTTATTTCCATACCTCTGTTATGCCGCTGATAAGAACTGAGCTATGTCATGTTTCTGCAGTGACACTGAAACCAGTGATGCTGGGTTCTAGTCTTTGTTCTGGAACACTTGCTGTGACTATTTGTGTCCTCCCAAAGTTCATTCAGGTTGAAGCCCTAACCCTCAAAGTGATGGTGTTAGGAGGTGGGGCCCTTGGGAGGTAATGAGGATTGGATGGGGTCATGAGGGTGTGGCCCTTGTGATGGGATTAGTGCCCTTAGAAGTAGGCCCCAGAGAGCTACCCATATGAGGACACAGCAGGAGGAGAGGAGAGAGCAAGCATCCAGGAGAGAAGTCAGCAGGCACCATGATCTCAGACTTCCCAGCCTCCCAAAAAGAAATTTCTGTTGTTTCAGCCACCCAGTGATTCCGTTTTCTTCTCCATCATGTGTGGATATTACAAACCTGTCTCACTTTCACCAATTTACGTGATTCAATGAAAAGTGAATGTACAATAGTGAAAAAGCAGGAAGAGACTTAAAAGGTGAAAGCTGTGTGAAGCAACAGGTTACCAAGTACATACTTTCTGTCCAAGTACATATGGAAACAGTATCAAGTGACTGTGTAAGTTCCAGTTCTGCAGAGCAAGCTGCCTGAGTCATTTAGTCCTTGCTCACAAAAGGATCTCGAAATTTCTATGAATTTAAATGTTGAGAGAAAAGCAAGGGAAATTACCGGAATTCAGAACAGTGGGCTTGATATTCATGCTCTTAGGGCTGTATATTCAAGATTGAGCTCTAATAGCATAGGATGGGACAAGGAAATAAAGAAAAATGCTTTAGGAGTTTTCAATCCAAAATTAGACCCTGGAAGAAGTTTATTTGCATTTTCAGGTCACTGAAGGATCATTAATAAGAGTCTATTGGGGGATCCCTGGGTGGCGCAGCGGTTTAGCGCCTGCCTTTGGCCCAGGGCGCAATCCTGGAGACCCGGGATCGAATCCCACATCGGGCTCCTGGTGCATGGAGCCTGCTTCTCCCTCTGCCTGTGTCTCTGCCTCTCTCTCTCTCTCTCTCTGTGACTATCATAAATAAATAAAAATTTAAAAAAAAATAAGAGTCTATTGCCCCGTTCATCATTGTTTTTGACTTTAAAATGTTACCCTCTTTTTATTAGATGACACTGATAGGAGCATACCTAGTCCTGCAATTCTCAAGCAATAATTTTTCATCCTAAATCTGCTCATGTCAGTGACCAAGTCATTTGAAGAGTGCTATGTTATCATTTTATTTTCCTTAGTGCACAAAAGTAAAAGGCCCTAAAATCACCTCCTATTTCATCTCCCTTCTCAAGAATCAGACATTCTCGGGGTAGCTGTCTGGCTCAGTCAGTGGAGCATGTGACTCTTGATCTTGGGGCTGTGAGTTCAAGCCCCACCTTGGGTGTAGAGATAACTTTAAAAATAAAATCTTCAAAAAAGATTTCTCCTAAAAGAAGTATCTTCCATGTACACTGAAGATGTGTGCATTTCACTATTGGGGGAAAAAGTAAAGTTTATGTCCCTATGTGTATATACTTACATGGGTAGCATGCACGCATTCATTTGACACTTATTTATCCAACACCTGTTCAGGATAAGGTAAGCCAGGCTAGAACAGTTGCTCCCACATCAAGATGCTTTCCAAATCATCTAAGAAGATTTATAAAAAGGCAAATTCCTAAGCTTCTACTTCAGAAATTCTGAATCACTAAGCCTAAGTGACATAAGGGAATCAGTTTTTTTTTTTTTTGTTTTTTTTTTTTTACTTAAAACTTTCCAGGGAATTCTAATCTGCTAGTACTTTTGAGAACTTCACTCTTGAATATCATAGGGACTAGTTAAAAAATAAATGAATCATGTGTAGAAGCTAATTTAAAATGACCAGTGTTTTGGTTTTCCAAATAAAGCACTAAATTAAGATAAAACTATATTATCTATTAACACGAATTTAAAAAGATGTGAATCCCTATGTTTATTGTAGCATTATTTATGATAGCAAAAATATGGAAGCAGCCCAAGTGTTCATCTATAGATGAAATGGATATAGGTGTGGTATATATGCATATACACACACAATGGAATATAAGTCATAAGAAATGTTGAAATCCTGCCATTTGCAACAACATGGATGGATCTAGAAGGTACTATGCTAAGTGAAATAAGTCAAAGAAAGACAAATATCATACGATTTCACTCATGTGTGAAATTTAAGAAACAAAGCCAAAAAAACCAAAACAGAGACAAACAAAAAAACCAGACTTTCGAATATAGAGAATAAACTGGTGGTTACCAGAGAGGAGATGGGTAGGGAATGGGTGAAATAGATAAAGCAGATTAAGAATACATTTACGGGCACCTGGGTGGCTCAGTCAGTTAAGCATCTGCCTTCTGTTCAGGTCATGACCCCAGAGCACTGAATTGGGCTCCCTGCTCAATGGGGAATCTGCTTCTCTCTCTCCCTCTGGCCCTCCGCCACCCCCCACTTGTGCGCACGCGCCCTCTCTCTCTCTCTCTCAAATAAATAAATAAAATCCTTTAAAAAGGGGTACACTTATGATGAGCACTGAGTAATGTATAGAATTCTTGAATCACTATATGGTACACCTGAAACTAATATAACAATCTATGCTAATTATACTGGAATTAAAAAACTACATGAATTTTAAAAAACATATGGGGTGCCTAGCTGGCTCAATTGGGAGAGCATGTGACTCTTGATATTGGGGTTATGAGTTGTAACCCCACCATTGGCATAAAGAGTACTTAACAAAATAAAAATTTGAGAGATGCCTGGGTGGCTTAGTGGTTGAGCATCTGCCTTTGGCTCAGGGTGTGATCCTGGGATCTGGGATCCAAGTCCCACATCAGGCTCCCTGCATGGAGCCTACTTCTCCCTCTGCCTGTGTCTCTGCCTCTCTTTGTGTGTCTCTCATGAATAAATAAATAAAACATTTTTAAAAATTAAAAAAAATAAAATTTGAAATAAATAAATAATAAAAAACTTAAAAACAGATAACAGTTTTTAAAAAAACACTTTATTAATTAAGCTATTTGAGAGAGAGAGAGCACGAGAGCAGGGAGGGCAGAGGGGAAAGGAGGAGGAGAGGAAGAAAGAATCTGAGCAGACTCCATACTGAGCATGGAGCCCAAAGAGGGCTGGATCCCATGACCACAAGATCATGACCTATGCCAAAACCAAGAGTCAGACACTTAACCAGCTAAGACACCCAGACGCCCCCACAAAAGAACATTTAACAACAACAAAAAAAACTAAAAATGATTTTGATTTTAAAATTTTGAAGTTGGCTGCAATATAACTTTGAGACAACTCACTACATTGTCTTTGTTTTTCTCACTAAAATCAGAATGGTGAATGAACATTTTATAATCAAACAGCCCTGGTCTAACACAGGTTGGGACGTTGCAGTACTGGAAGTAAATATGACCAGTTATATGCCTTGTCCTTGGCCTATAACTGATAGCCTTTAAATCTGCCACACCCAGAATGTGCCTCCCCTGCCCCCACAACCCTCCGCCCCACCCATGACTGACTCAATATTTAAAACTTGGCTCAAGTATCACCTGCTCATGGAAGTTTTCAGCTCTTCCACTTCTGACTTCCTGCACCTCCTTTAGTCTCCCCAGAACATTCTATACACACCTC